AATAACAAAAAACTTTTAGATAATCCCAGAAGAATTAGGTGGTATAGTTTTCTTTGTCAATATAACTTTCTTGTTGAATTTATCAACTCTGATAAAAATATTCTAGCAGACTTTCTCAGCAAGCCTGATAGTTCGAGAAAAAACTCTTCACGAGAGTCCTGGTGAATGGAAAACAATAAAAAAAAACTCTTCACGACTGGACCCTTATGAGTTACTCTTAAATAGTTTCTTCAACAAAATAACTGCTAGAAAAAATAAGACTCTCTCAATCAGAGATCAAAGATTTTTATAATCCTGGACTTGAACCATAAGTCTACAATTTGTTAAACAATATTTGAAAACTACAATTTGTTAAACAATATTTGAAAACTACAATTTGTTAAACAATATTTGAAAATCTCATCTCTCAGAAAACAAATTTAGCTTTCGAAAAAGGATGACCAAATTAGCTGAATTTTTAGTCAAATAGGCTGATGAAATTTAAAAATTTAAAGAAATAGCTTTCCAAAACCTTCTTTCTACAAATCTGCTAAAACAGCAGGATATAAATTTCTTTGTTTTGGAAGGAAATCAGTACAATATTCAATAGATAAATAATTTCTTGAATTTATACGAATATTTTGAAGAAACAACCTAAAAAGGGTTCGTCTTCTTGATTGTTCTCCATTATCCAAGACTCTCGTGAGAAGTTTTTCCTCGATCCATCAGGCCTGCTGAGAAAGTCTGCTAGAATATTTTTATCAGAGTTGATAAATTCAACAAGAAAGTTATATTGACAAAGAAAACTATACCATATAATTCTTCTGGGATTATCTGAAAGTTTTTTGTTATTAAGAAAATTTTGGATGGCCTGGTTATATGTTCTTATAACAAATGTTTCAAGGGCAAGATAAATATGAAATCGCTATACATCATTTTTTATGGCTAACAGTTCTTTTTCATATATAATATAATTTATTTTGTTTGGTTTAAATTTACTAGAATTATAACCACAAATCAATTCATCCTTTTGATGAAGATTTTTTACTTTTAAGACACATCCCCAATGTTTATCACTGGCATCTGTCTCTAATATCAATAAATCACCATGTTTAGGTAGATAAACTGTAAGAATATAAGTTAGCTCTGATTTGATCTGATTGATAATATCAAAGTCAATAGATGTCCAAACAAAATCATTTCCTTTGTGCAATTTACGCAAAAGATTGCTTTCTTTTTTAGAAAGATTTTTGAAAAATTGTCTACCATAATTGAGTAGACCTAAAAATTGTTGTAGCTATTTGATATTATCCAGTTATTCTGAAAAGTCTTTGATCTTCGAGATGATGTGATCCTGCAATGTTAATCAATTAGTAGATAAGTTTAGACCAAGAAATTCAATTTCGATTTTTTCGAGTTCAACTTTTTTAAGACTCAAAATAATACTATGCAGAATAAATTTTTGAGCAATAATATTCAGGTGTTTCCTATGCTCATTTAGAGTATTAGAAAAAAAATAAGAATATCATCAATATATATACAACAAAATTGGTTATGTTTACTGAAAATAATATTCATTCAATGTTGAAATATTTGTGAAGCATTGCATAGACCAAAAAGTATAACAATCAATTTTTATGAAATATTTTTTTGGAACAAAACTATGAAAGTGAGTTTAAAATCTTTAGATTAAAGTGATTAATATTTCAAAGTGAGTCTAGATCTATTGATGAATGATTGATTTAAGTGATAAAAAAATATATTCTTTTTTTTATTCAAAAAAATATAATTTTTCATAAGTTCACTAAATAAATAAAAGTATGGATCCCCGTACAATAAAAATAGATGTAGATTCCATTATTTGGAAGTGATTGTTGTTTCTTTTAATAGTAAATTTTGTTTTTAATAAATTGGGTGGAGGGGTTGAATCTTGAGTTCATGAGAATATTATTTACTCAAATAACAAATAATATTTTTGGCACCATTGGTCTAATTAGTTTCTCTAACTACAATAGTAGTAATAATTTTCTTTTGTACATTAAGAAAAACAATAAGAAAATGTGCCTCAAATAGAAACTATTATAATTATAAGACTTACAATTCTCTAGGTTGACATATTACGTACCATTTCAAAAGGTAGCATTTCCATTTTTTTTTCTTAAGATTTTGTACAGTAAATCCACCGAAATCTTCTTTTTCTTGAGCAATCAACACTGTGGGTCTTAAAATCCAAATAGAAGTTCTTTACCTTTTTGATAACTTCTCTAAGAAGCTTAACTGAATTATTAATAATTGATACACTTTTTAAAGCTTTCCCTTGTTCTTTGCTCCACTAAACAGACCCAAAAAAAAAAAAAGTCAACACAGATTTTGATAAAACGCTAAAATTTTCATGATTATTCTTAAAAGAAAAAAAAATAAAAATATCAATCTCTCAAATATTCTTGAGTTCCTGTTAGGAATATGCATAAGAGCTGATAATGCAAATGAAATCATGTTACAGCCATGTTTAATCAAGATGAAATTTCTATTGTTTTTGTTTTTGGTTTTTTTTTTTTTGGGGGGTGTGGTGACACTATAAATTCGACTAAATAGGACATATGAATGAACTAATTAATTAAAACTTGAAAAAAAAAAATACAGCCATTATCTAATAATGATGTACATATGACTGGTGGGTCATTGTTCTTGGAAAACTTGAACTTATCCCAAAATCAAGCACCATTTATGGTACTCAAATAAATAAAAGGTCATAAACCCAATAAGTTGACACATTTCATAACATTTTATTAAATCATGCTGCTGATTGCATTGTCTAAACTAAAACCATATTATGATTTAGATTAATCATCTTGCATCTAAATTCAGTCAGCCTATTTCAAGGAAAGTTCCCATGGCTGACCCTTATCTTTCTTGGATTTTGGCCAAAGAATAAGATTAATTAATTAAAGAATGTACAATATTCATAAATATTTTAATTAACCATCATAGAGAATTGCGGACTCATCTTTTCAAAAACCAGCACTTTTGGACGGATTGGAACAAAAGAAAAGGCTTCAAGACTTACAACATTTGACATCCAAACGGCATTTTACATCAAATACTTGGAATAATTTCACACGCAATGCCTAAAACACGTGGAACCAATTAAGGAGAAAAAGAGAGAAAAAAAAAATCAAGTAAAATATAGTTTAACTTTCGTTAACCAACGTACAGGTGTGTTCCAGCTAAAAAATGAATATTCTTGATTAGCAAAACATTAATTTGGATTAGGTCCAATTATTAACCTTAATCAAATTGAGATTTTCCCGAATCATCAACCAACAAAGTAAACCCTTGGAACCCACCTACTCACAATAATTCGCGAAATCTTAAATTAAATTTTTTTTTTTTTAAATTATGATATTTAAAATTTTTTTAAAATTTTAAAATATTTCGTATTTAAATTTATTCATTTAATTAAAAAAATTCATATATATTAATTTTTAAATAATTATTATAATATTCTTAATATATATGATGATAATTTTTTATTAATTTTTATTAATTATAAATATTTAAATAACATATGATATTTTTAATAATAAAAAAATAAATATTTTATTTAATTAATATTTTTATTTATAAAATATTATCAATTAAAATTATTAAAATTTATTTGAGATGTTTTTTATTGAAAAATATTTTAAATAATTTTTTCTATCTTTCAAAAAAATTATTTAAAATATTTTTGATCCCGAAGGACCTATTTCAACGTTGACAAGATTGTCATTGATCTGATCGACTTGAACTCCACCATTGATATGAAGTTGTTCCAACTACTCTCTCGGAGGTCCCACGCTCTCTGTCGCCGTGCATCACCGTTAACAGTGGAAATAATATTTCATAAATTATTTAAATTTAATTGGAATAAAATTTTAATTTAATTTGATCTTTATCAAATTATGTTTGAATTAAAATAATATGATTTATGATCGAGTAAAATTTAAATATTTTGATATTTAATTTAAATAATTTGTGAATTTAATAATTTTTTATATTTTAATATAAATTTTATTATTTTATTTATATATAAAAAATTTAATTCTAATTTGAATATAAATAATTAAAATTGAAATCATGCATCGAAATTAAAATTTTTTATTTAATAAATAAATCTAATTAAATAAATTTAAATAATTTAAATTTTATTTCAAACCAACCTTAAAAATTAAATTCAAATTAAATTCAAATTGAATTTCAAATATTAAATCTAACTCAAATTCAAGTTTTTTATTACATCAATTCGGCTTGACTGAATTGTACACCTAATTATCATCCCTCTCGACACGTGGTCAAACCTGATCCTCCAATATCAACCATCCAATTCTCTCTTTCATGATGTAATTAAAAAGCTAGCTCTCGACGTGGCCCCTTCAATAGCTCCTCGGATTATTTAGCAAAATTGAAAATTCCGCTTTCTTTCTGCAAAAGAGTCTAATTCCACCTAATAGGTGGGTCCTAATTCTCCTTCCTACTCGCCACGTAGCCAGTTCTAAAGAATGGTAGTACCGTCGCTTGGGTCCACCTAAGAACGTACCTTAGATTCCTTGGACATAGACAACTCGAATCCAATACAAAACAAAGATTATCAGTACTTTGGATCTGATCACCTACCACCCAATCAGCTTCTTCCCCACTGCCATGTCATCAGTAAAAACATTCATGGGAGTGACACTTCATTTGATGATTGCTGGTGCAGGGAATTTCAAGAGAGTAGCCCAGTAGAGAAGCCTTATGTCCCCACCCAATAATAGTTTCTTAGTCCTGGCCTCTTGACTCGCAAAACCACCGTGGCATCTGCAGATTAAACAGATACACGTGGCGTTACGGCAAAAAAGCGAGTGAGTACGACTCCTAATCGATGACTTTTTTTTTCTTTTTTTTAGTTTTTTTGGTTCTAAATTTGTATAATTTCAGTGGGGATGCGTGTGTCATCGACTCAAGTTCTCTTCCCACGTGTCGCATTTCTCTTCAGTCTTCCCTCTTCTTTTTATCTCATTCTCTTCTCTTATTTCATTTCTTTTCTTTTCTCTTTCTTTTATCTTTCTTTTCTCTCACTCACATGGAACCTCCACCGGGAGAAGAAGAGGAACAGCGATTCCACCGAGTCGATTCACTCTCCGAACCGGATCTGACTTCAACCAGCTCAAGCCCGTCCTCGATACTCAGTGCGGAGGATTCTAGAAGCACGACGAGTTCTGGCGATATCTCCGGAACGAGCGGGAGTTCCGGTGAGATTTTAGCGGCGGAAGCTGTGGTTCCGAGGTTGCTTGAGCCTGCGCCTACTTGCGAGGAGTTGGTGGTGACGGTTACGGCGACGCAGAAATGCGTTGGAAGGAATAATAAGGGAGTGACGTGGGGGTTCACTTCGGTGATTGGTAGACGGAGAGAGATGGAAGATGCTATCGCCGTTATACCGGCGTTCATGTCCCACACGTGCGATCACGTGGGAGGTTGTACGGCTCCTGGTTCTAGAACCTCCGCTGAAATCTCCCCGATCCATTTCTTCGGCGTCTATGATGGCCATGGAGGCTCACAGGTAACAGAATTTCACTCTTTTAGAATTCAATTTGCTTTATTTTCCTTCCTTAACGCCAAATTTCCTTTTTCTTTTTAAATAATTTTGGTTCGACTCTTTAGAAATTTTAGTGGTTTAAGTCTAGGAGAAATCAAAGTATGATGTATCAGTTGGCTCCATAAAGAGAAAAGGGGGGGCAGATGGCGAGAGAGAGTCCCTTCCCGTTTCCATGGAAATCTTTGTGATTTTCGATGGTTTATAAAAATAATATAATAATAATATGTTTAATATCGTGGATCGAACATAAATAATTATTTTTTTTGACATGGTCTGACACGTTCTAAAAATCTGGTGGTCCATTCCACGCATAGGGGACACTTTATAGAGCCTTTCACATTTTTCCTGGACACGTGTCATTAAAAGCGCGCCCAAATTTTTTAGAGCTCAACACGTCTCAAGGCTTTGGTTTTTAGTTCAATTAAGCTTTGCTGAGGGTAGCCTGCCTGATTTTTATCGTCACGGTATTGCGTAATGCAAATCTCATACATTCGCGAGTTATTATTGGTTTGATTTTGATTTTGTTTATTGGGCATGGGCCATGGGGCCTGCTGGGGTTTAGCCGTTTTAGTTGAGATGGTGGCATGGTAGTATTTGTATATCGTATGCGGATATAAAATTATAAATACTGTGAGCCAGGAGGAATACAGAGGCTCCTTCATCGTAGGAAGAGGAAAAGTCACGGGTGAGACCAAATGTTTCTTGAGTGCGTCTAGTGTAAGAAATTTAGGTTTTATTTGGATAGATTTTGATTTTAACGAGATTAAAAGTAATAATAAAAATTATAATAAATGTAATTAAATAAATATTAAATAAATTTTATTAAAATTAATATTTAAATTTAATTAATAGTATAATAAACTCAATTGCATTACATAAAAAATACGATGAAATCTAAACTTAAACTTAAAAGTAACATGATGTAGGGTGATCGATGGTCGAATCTACATAAATAAGGTTTATGGTGGACCGATTTTTTATAAGATTAGATTAGCTCTTGATAATTTGTATATTTATATCATATAAAATATTAAAATTTATGTGTTTATATTATATTTTATATGAAAATTATATATTATAATTTTTTATAACATAAAAATATAAAATATTATTTTTTGATTTTATTAAATCAATATATAATAATTATTAAAATTATAAATTATATCATGTTTTTAATTTTTTTATATTATATTTTTAATTATCAAATTTAAATTAAATGATGAGAGATACTGATGTGATTTAAATAAAAGTTTTCATGTATTCTTTTTATTTTATCGCTAAATAAAAAAGTTGAAGATTATGATGGACCTGTTCTGATGACCTAGTCCTTCCCTCTTTTACATTTTACAATCTCCTTTTCTTTTCTTTTTCTTTTTTTTGTAAATTTTCCCTTAATTTAAAACTTTTTCACGTAGAAAGTCTGTCTGAAAATTAATTTTAGTTCTATGTCACTGTTTTATATTACCATGTGGTAGGTAGTTGCCGTTGACATTTGTCCATTATATGGACATCAAAAGAACACAATTCCACGAACTTCTATTAATTTCTAAGAAATCATAAACGAGCTTGTCTTTTCCTTCATCTCAAGACTTATTTTAATCAAATAACGACATTTCCTTATTTCATGTATACATTTGTCCTGCTATTGTCATGTCATGTTTCCAACAGAATCTTTAGATTTTCCAAAGAACTTTGAATAAATGTTTTGCATAATACATTAGAGGTGGAATAATAATTTATACATTGATTTATATTTTTATTGTCTGATCATTTGATTATAATTAAAAAATAATATTTTATATTTAATTTTTACTTAAATGCATAGTTTAAAAAAAGATATATGAAATTTATTAGATAAAATTCGTGAAATTTTTTATTAAAATTGATTAATAAAACCAAAATTAAAAATAATAAATTAAAAATTAAAAAATTTTATCACATAGATCAAATATGTAAATTTTAAAAAAATTTTAACAAATTTTGATATATTTTTTATATAGGTATTTTCAGTAAAAATTTTGATAAAATTTTACTCTTAAATAAGTATTGATCAAATTTAATTATAAGTAGTATTTTAAATAAAATTTTATATATTATTTATTTTTTAATTAAATTTTATTAATTTATTGATTTAAATTTTTACTTTCTCTGTCCCATTTTCTTTGTCCATATTTTCTTTTTGGCATGTCTCAAAATTATGTTTTATTTTTTGAACTTTTAAAACTCTTATTTTATATTTTAAAATTATTTTTATGATTTTTTTATTTTTTGACTTTAAAAATCATAAAATTTTAATTTTATAAAAGAATTTTTAATCTTAATATTAAATATATTAAAGTTAAAACTTTTTTTTTAAAACAAACAAATAAGGAAGGAGGGAGTATTAAAATTTTTATTAAATCATTTTTAATAAAAAATTTCATAAATTTCAATTTAAAAATTTTATAAATCGTTTAATTATCTATATTATTCTTAAGAAAAGGTTTGACTAAGACATCAAACTCATATCGATAATTGACGTTAAACTCAAATTAGATCATTTTAAATATATAAAATAAAGGATACAAATATCATTCAATACAAGAATTTAAATTTTTTTTACTTAATTTTATATTTTAAATTATTTATACATTCAATTGAAAACATTATCCAATATTTTTATAGTTTAAGTTATTTTTACATTCAATTGAAAACATTGTCCAATATTTTTATAGTTACATAACTTGTTTTTCTCTTTCACCTATTTTAAAATTATTTTGTCTTTTATTTTTTTTCAGTGGGTGTGCAAAATTAATATTTTCTTAAATGAAAACGAGTAATTTTATATGTTTACTTGTCTAATTTTTGTGGCACCACTTACACCAGTTGTACATGCATTTACAAAATAAAGATTATGATACTGTACTCACAAGCCAATGGTGTAATCTGGATCTTTTAGGCACTGGTTAATAAAAATCCCATCCAATTTAACCTTACAAGTCATGATATAGACTATAGAGGCACCAGATCATTGTGCCTTTAAGTTGATAATCATTGAACCAATCGACTTTGATCGGAAGGATTACATGTTAAGAGAATATTTATTGTGTCTCTATATGTACACGTGTCTGCGCTGAACATCCATTAGAGTTGGCTGTATCTTAGTTCAGAAGTTACTGTTTAAGCTGTGAATTGATCTTTCACATTTCTTAAGCTAATTAGCTGCTGTTTCTTGAAATAAGTAATAAATTATGTGAATCTATATCATATTTTCCTCTGGTGTCAAAGCAAATTCATTATAATCAATGCATGAGCTTGAAAATGTATCCTTTTAAGTTATCTCAGTTTAATATGTTTTTTGGACAAATAGCATATTTTTATTTATCCAAGAAAGTAGGGATAGAACCTGCTATAAAATACCGTACAACACTAACAAAACTATACAAATAGAAGCATATATACTTAAAATTAAAATTTACAAAGAATCAGTAAGTCTCCAGTTCTGACAAAGAAGAAAATGTTTGTCCTTTGTTGCCTGTGAAAAATCTTGCAATCTAAACTTTATAGAATCAACCATATAGTTAAATCTTCTCAGCTTCGCGTGGTTTCCCTCAAAACTTCATATTGTTCCTTTCCATCTAAATGAAATAGATGTATGCATTCCAAGCTAGTTTAAGGATTACCACCGGCAGAGATTTTTCCTTCAACAATTTTATCGAACCAAATTCATATGATCAGTCACCCACATCCCTTTGAAACCCAGAACAATACAGCTCCTTATTTCATACTAACTTACTATAAGAGCAAGAGAAATATAACAGATTTCTGTCCTCATCAGTTTGTTTGTAAAAGAAGCATAAGCAATTTGCAAGAGGAAAATTCCAAGAGGAAAGTTTGAGAAGAGTGGACAGCTTGTTTAGGATAGCCATCCAACTTATTAGTCCATGCTTGGGGATATTATGCTGAAACCAAATCACCTTATCCCAGTATCCACTCGTTGCTGTTTATCTCGAATGACATTACAAATCTCTGCAGCGTTGTACATAGCAGATTTTGTTACCAACCACCTTGGCTCCAGAGAGGGATATTTCATTTTAATATCTGTTTATGCTCCACTTTAATAGCATGAATGTGAAGTTTTAATTAACTTTTCCTGACTTAAGGAATTCTTTTCTTTCCTCACCGTGAAGCATTGTAAAATCACCTTTGCCTGTTTGCATTATATGACAAATCAGACAATCCTTTATTTGACACCCGTGATGTCACTTATTAACTTCAGCAAGAATTGTTAGGTGGCTAAATTTTGTGCTGAGAGGATGCATGGATTGGTAGCAGAGGAATGGGACCGTGAAGTGGTTGAGAGCTCTGGGTGGCAGAGGAGATGGGAAATGGCATTTTCCAGTAGTTTTAAGAGGGCTGACAATGAAATATTGACTGCAGCAGTTGCACCAGAAATGGTGGGATCAACTGCTGTTGTTGTAGTTTTATCTGGTTGCCAGATTATTACATCCAATTGTGGTGATTCGAGGGCAGTGCTTTGCCGGGGTACTGAAACAATTCCGTTAACTGTTGATCAGAAGGTAGCAATGGAAATTCCTTTTTACTTTAAGTCATTCTCTATTCGCTAGTTTTTGAAAATTGTTTAAAAGTGTTACAATTTTACAAGTTCATACACTTTCAAGAAATTTTAAAATGAGTATACAAAAGAAAGTGGAAGATGAAGCCAAATAGCCAATGGTGTAATAGCTGTCTTTCGTGCTGTAGTAATAACTATTCAAAGTCTCAACTATTCAACTACTGTCCCTCTTGCATAGTCAGATCATATTCCTTAACCTTCTAAGTAGAATATTTTCATGCTTTCAGGGCATAGTTATCCAATTAATTATCCAAACTAACAAAACTAGTGTGCTACAAAGACAAACCGGTAGTTTCCAGCCAAACAAGACTAACTATAACACATTGTATCTCTAATCAGATAATTTTAAGGCTTTGATTCCTTTCCCCTCATTTTGTTAAAATTAACTTGCCTGTAGATAAAAGATGTGTATGTCCTTTATGGCATTTGAGGTATACAAAATGTTAGAGGAGCACACTTTGGAGCATAAATGAATTAAAGACATCACTTGGCGAGTAATTAACTGCATTCATATATATCATAGTTCTGTAGTGGTGTATTTAAACTTTGTTTCATAAATAGGAGTAAAGACATTTATTTTTCATTTTTTTGCTGCTTACTACAGCCTGACAGACAGGATGAGCTCATAAGAATTGAGAGAGATGGAGGGAGAGTAATAAACTGGTATGGTGCTAGGGTCCTTGGAGTTCTTGCAATGTCCAGAGCTATAGGTTCTTCTCCTTTATCACTACATCTCTATTTCATTTCAAATTTGCTGTTTAGCATTTATCAAAACTTCTTAAATCATATGTGTTCAAGGCATCTTGTAATATGTTCTCTTTTCAACGTCATTATGCATGTGGGCATCCAGTCTATTCTATTGTTCTGTGATTTAATCCCAAAGGAAAGAATGTTTGATTCTAAATTATATTTTGGCAAAACAAGGATTGAAAGTAAGTTGTGGATTGCTTCATGGTGTTTTGCTGGAGCCCTAAAATGTATCTCATGATATATCATTGCAAGTGGATTATGTACATCAAACATTTTGAACTGCTTATTTGATTGCATTTGTAAAATTGTGGCAAAAATGAAACTTGCATTCTTTAAAAAAAAAAATTTCCTAACTGTATTAACAAATTATTTGTATGTCCCTAATGGACATGACAACACGAAAACTAAAGAGAACCTTCCATATTTCCTTTTTGAGATTTGTTTTCGTGTGAAATTTTAACATAGAGAATGTTTAGAATATATTTCATTATACAATGTCTCTGTGTGCTATATAAGTGATGCAGTTAGAGTTCACAGTAGTTATGTTTTATATAAGTGATTGTATTTCCTTCAACATGTGGATTCTTTTCTATTCTTTTTTACTTTTACTTTTGAATGAGTTATGTGGATTTGTCAATTAGTAGGATTTAGCATCAGTAGATGGCAATTGAAGAAAGTTACGGGTATTCTTTTCTTACCAGGAAACATCTACATACTATTATTTTCTGTAATTCTGATCTGAAATCTCATTGTAGTCAGTGTAAGTTGTAAGGGATGCCTATCTACATGGTGGTCAGCCTTAATGCTGTTAGAACTCTCAAATTGTCACCATCTCTAAAGACCAGATTTCTGTTAAAATTTACAACTTTGAAAGCATATGTAGCTAGTCTGCTGATCAGAAAGTTTGAAACTATCACCATTTGTAAAGACTAGTCCGCTATTTTTTTTTTTATAACTTTTTAGGAGAAAAGAAAATAATGTGTTTTTTTTTTTGGCCAAAAAAAATGTTGTTGTTTGTTATTCTTATTACCATTATATGGCTAATATGGTTTTGGAGGCAGCCTTGTTGCTTTCACCGTAGCTGGAAGTCTTCGACTAGTATAAGGACAGGTTGTCCTGCTAAACCATTAGAAAAGGCTTTCATTATGATCATCTTTTTTTCTAGATACAAAAGTATAATTTTGAATAATCAACAATATCTTAGTGACTTATAGACTGATTGAACTACCAATACTAGTCTTTGTTTTGCTTCTATCCTGTATATTTTGACTTCTACCATGTAGGCAGAGAAATTTGTTGCCTTTGGTTTTTGATAAAAACCATTTGCCTTGCTTGTTACCATATGCATATCAAAGCCTCCATTCAACATTCGCTCAGCCTTTTCTAAAGAATTTGGCTGGAATTCGGTTACCTGAAACAGAAGGCAATGGCTTTGAGTTTCTGAACTATAAAATTTGTTCTCTAATTATAATCTCAAAGGTTTTCGAAAGAAAATTGGCGGTCTGCTTAGTAATTTGTCCATTCATTTTTGTGCATATAACAGGCATGAAAGGTGGGTCACTGGTCGGCAAAACATAACAGATCATCGCATAAATAAAATTTTAATTGATTATGGTTTAGAGAGTGTAGGATGTTATTCTGAAGAACGAAATCATCTATAATTGATTTACTAAAAACAACAGTACCACCATGACACCATAATACAATTAAGGTCATATGTGAAGTAGGAATTCAAATCTTGGGTATTAACTCCTCCAGTTGGGAATGCAAATTTTGGGTTTTAAGTCAAGCTTGGATTGCTAGATTAGTATTTTCAATATTTAGTTTCAATATAGCTTCGTATAAACTTTCATGATTTTGTATATCACATTAATATTGAAAGTTATCATTATGCGTGCGATTGTAGTATAAGCTAGAAAAACACTGGTAATCTAGGCAATTTAGAAATATTAATTCTTCTTTCTCTGTCCATGACCATAAGTAGAGGGTAGTGGGGGGCTGGGGGAGAGGTTTCTGTTTTGTGTTGCTGCTGATTGCTGATTTTATACCTAGTATAATATTAAGAAGAACCCATTGTGGCTGAACTAATACTGGAAAGACAGTGATCGACCAAAAATGATAAATTCAGTTCCTGTACTCATCCTTGTGGTTCTTAATGTTGGTGATGTGTGTTTCAGGTGATCGCTATTTAAGGCCTTGGATAATTCCTGTGCCAGAGATTACCTTCATGACGAGGACGGATGAGGATGAGTGTTTGATACTGGCCAGTGACGGGTTGTGGGATGTCATGACAAATGAAGAGGCTGGGGGGGTAGCTCGCCGCCTACTAAGACGGCGTCGTAAGTCTTCGGTGGCTGGTGGAGTTTCTCCCGCTCAAGCAGTAGCTGATAATCTCACTGAAATAGCAATAGGACGAAACAGTTCGGATAATATTTCTATCATCGTTGTGGACTTAAAATCCAAGAGGAAACGCCAGCCAAGGCAGTGAAAAAGGAGCAAATTCATTTTCTTTCTTCAATTACCTCGTAATACAATTCCTTCTGCCCTACTAAAGTTAACAGATGAGGTTGGCAAGAAAGACGTGGCAAGTTCACCTAGTTCCACAACCAAACAGATCACAATTACTCTTCCTGACCTTTACAAAGTTAACTGGAATATGACATCTATTCCATAATAGGAAGAGGTTTGGTACCGCAAACCGTTAGATCAATCATCACTTTTAACTGGTTTGTTCAAGAGATAGAGAAGCAGGGATATAAAATAATAAAAAAAAAAAGCTCCTTCGTGCATATGTTCCGAAGGTTGAGAAAGATAGGGAAGGATGAGAATATCTAATGTTTAATCTCCCTGTTTTTTATTTTCTTTTCCAATTCCTATCCTTGTCTTCTCCCAAGTAATTAGAGGGAAACTAGGGAAATGTTGAAGCATTGGAAGTGCGCCTTTAGCACTCATTACTCTTTGTTTCACCATGTAAAGTATTCAGAAAAAGTAGAATATTTGCGATAGATGTTTCACCATGTAAAGAATTCAGAAAAAGCGGACAAATGGCTTGTTTTGGGAGTCGGGGAACGGATAGGGAAAATAAGTGGGGCAGAGCACTTGGATTCGAGTATTCGACTAATATCGGCCTTTCTAAATCGTTCCCATTTTCAATTTCTATTTCCAGCAGTTGGCATTTGAAAATGAGGTCTCCATAAACAAAAACGAAACCTACCTGCAATCCTTATATATGATACAAAGGTAATAAATCACTGCTATTTGTCATGGATCATGTTAAACACCAGCTGTTTAGATATCTTCACAGCTCCATTAGTACAATGTTATGCATTTGATAGACAACTAGGACATCTCTTTTAAGTTTAATTAATCCAATAAACAAGTGCAATTATGTTTGAAGGCTAGCAAGCTTGGAGAATGCTCCTTGCTGGTTCTTGAGCTGAGCATAGGTGCCTCGCTCTACCACCTTCCCATCGGCAACAAATGCAATTGAGTCTACTTTTTTTATTGTGTTAAGCCGATGAGCGATCACAATTGTGGTTCTTCCGACCATGGTTCGATCCAGTGCTTCTTGAACAACTTGTTCAGATTGCACGTCAAGGGCGCTAGTCGCCTCATCCAGTAAAAGAATTCTTGGGTTCCGAATTATAGCTCTAGCAATGGCTATTCTTTGTTTCTGTCCTCCTGATAATTGTACTCCTCTTTCTCCACTTTCTGTTTCGTATCCTTCCTTCAGTGCTCTACAGAACAAATTCAATGCAAACCAGAATTATTAGCACATTTCAACGTTGCAATGCCACTACTGCAATGGCTAGAAAGTAACAACTTACGAGATAAATTCATGAGCATTTGCAGCTCTAGCTGCCTCCACAACTTCATTCTCTGATGCATCAAGCTTTCCAAACACAATGTTCTCTCGTATGCTGCCTGAATATAACACTGGCTCTTGGCTGACAAGTGCCATTTGCCTCCTGTACCATTGAACATCTAGTTCTCTTATGTCAATGCCATCTGCTTTCACCGACCCCACTTCAACATCATAAAATCTTTGGATTAATCCAATAACAGTTGATTTTCCACAGCCACTTTTCCCAACTAGTCCAATGCTTGTGCCTGGTTTCACCTCCAAGCTAAATTGGCGTAACACTAGTGTCTCTGGCCTGCTTGGATACGCAAAATCAACCTTCTTCAGCTCTATCTTTCCAGTCATTCTTTCTAACTTTGTTCCACTGGTGCCATCTCCTCCCTAATACAATAGTCAACAGATTAATTAAAGCAAATTTTATGCTGTAATATACAAAAAGCTCAATTAATTTGACTACATATTTGAGCATTAAGGAAACTGTCTGCTTACTTGAGACCATGGAATTGAGGATTGTCGGTCAAGGATCTCAAACACTGATGCCACCGCGGTTGAGCCCTTGGCTAGATCAGAGGTCATGCTTCCAGCATCAGCTATGACCTTTCCAGTGCTCACCAAGACAAAGAAAGTCTTAAACACATCCCCTGCTGATATCTCTCCCTTTTCAACTAATATACCTCCATACCAAAAATCCAAAGCCCAGGACATAAAGGTTAAGCATTGAGCAGACCCCATACCAATTCCTGCCAGCCATGACTTTTTCCTTGCCTCTTTCCTTGGTTCCTCTTGAGCCTCATCAAAAAGTTGAAGGACCTTACCTATGCTCCCAAATGAACTTACAATTCTATGATTATAGACTGCTTCTACAGCTATTTGAGCACTTTGATTTTGTGACTTGACAAAATTAGTTGACATGCTGGAAAGCAAAACTTTTCGTGTGTAGAAACATAGAATTGTGAGAGGTTGGACTGCAATCATGACCACCGCTAACTTCCACGCGACAATTAGTCCTATAATCATCGCGATGCTCACAGCAGAAGTAGTTTGAACTAACAATGAAATTCTGTCTGCGACAAGTGTCTTAACCATTGAAGCCTGATTGCTCAAACTAGAACATAAAGCTCCACTAGAGTTTTTCTCTTCATCAAACCAAGCAGCTTCAAAGGACAACATTTTTTCTAGCATTCTCTTTCGGATTCTCCTGGTTAGCCGCTCACCCATATAAGCAAAATTATAATGCTGAATAAGATTCAGAATGATGGAGAACAAGGCGAGTAAAGAAAAGGTCATAGCATAAGTACGTATACGAGACTGCATTTCTTGGTGGCTTTTTGCAAAGAAGGCTGAAATCATGCCACCAACGTTTAAGGCATAGACAGGTTGAACTGCGCCAAAAGCTATAGCTGAGAGGCTACCAATCAAACCTTGCTTCCATTCTGGGGAATTTAAAGAGAGAAGCCGAAGGAAGGAAGGAGAGGGATGAGATACTGGTTTTGGACTTTCAATGTTAAGCAATGGTGTCGCAAAGAAAGCTGGGCTTGATTTAGCTGTGCTTAGCCTGCCTGTACTGATTCTTCCAACAGAAGAAAGGCGTGTTTCAGGATTTTGTTCACGGTCATCACAGCTGAATTGTCTTTGTAGCTTTGCAAGTTGTGCATAGTGGCCGTTCTCCATGTTTATCAGATCGTTGTGGGATCCCATTTCAATGATACAACCATTGTTAACCACTGCAATGAGGTCTGCATTTCGAACAGTGGAGAGCTTGTGGGCAATAACCTGGTCAAATTGTAATTAACTTTGAGTAATTAATTAATTAGAAGAAGAAATGCAAGTCAGGACCAAAAAAGGAAAAAGCAAAGTGGGACAAGAAAAATAAAATAGGGTAAGCAACTTTTAAAAAAAAAGAAAGAAGGTTTATTTGGTAGCCAAAGACAACTCATATTTGCTGAAAAACAATGAACAATAAAGAGGAAACCTGTTGTTAGACTGGGTGTTTTAAGAGAACTATTCAAAGAAAGTTCGTAGAAAAATTATCATACTGCTTTCCTTAAAAACACCTTTTAAAAGGAATCAACTATTGAAAAATTGGTGAGGCTAAACAGAATATTTAATCTCATTTTGTCTATTTCAAAAAAAAAACACATTTTGTCACAAAACAAAATCCAAAGAAATACATACAATTTTCATCACTCATTATTTGAATTTGGCACTAATAATTATAAAAAAGAAGTTGATTGATATTAAACACTAAAAGCACTTCAATTAGTCAGCACGTACAAGAGTGGTTCTTCCCATGGAGGCCTGATCAAGTGCATTTTGTACCAGTGTTTCAGATTCAGAGTCAAGAGAACTTGTTGCCTCATCAAGTAGGAGGATCACAGGGTTCTTGATAATGGCTCTGGCAATCGCAATTCGCTGCTTTTGTCCTCCTGACAAAAGTGCTCCGCGTTCGCCAATCTGTTCAATTTTTATGATGTTAAAAGTTAGACTTGAATTTATACTTCATGATTTGACTCAAGAAAAGAACAAACATAATCAGTCTCCCTTAACACCCACCTTTGTTTCATACCCTTCTGGAAGCTGTCTTATGAAATTATGAGCATTAGCAGCCATGGCGGCAGCCATGACTTCATCCATTGTAGCATCTAGCTTCCCAAACATTATATTTTCCTTTATTGATGTCCCAAACAATGCATGTTCTTGACTAACGAGCCCCATTTTTCCTCTGATCCATTTCAATTGCAAAGTTCTTATATCAGCTCCATCAATCTTCACTACTCCATCGTTTGCATCATAAAAACGTTGCACCAGTGCAATTGCTGTAGATTTTCCGCTTCCACTTGCACCAACAAGTGCCACAGTTTTGCCTGCTTCAACTTTGAGGTTGAAATCTTTGAGAACAACGGAATCAGGACGAGAAGAATATATGAAATTGACATGCTCAAATTCTATTTCTCCTCGAATTGTGTCTAACACAACGCCTTTTGTGTCTTCACTATCAATTTCTGGGGTTCGGTCAATCCTAGCAAATATTCTTGCAGCAGCGACAGCAGCTTCTGTGAAGTACTTCAGATCAGCAAGTGCTACTCCAAGAGACCTACATTCAATTCACCACGTCAACTTTAGTTAAATAGCTAGAGAAACTTCAATTTCAACTTAGTGGCTACATACAGATGGACAATCTGAAAGACAAATGGTTATTAATGATGCTTTTCATTTGCCAAATCGAATAATGATCTTATAAAATTCTGACTTCACGGGAATTTTAATGTGGCACATCATTATAATCCCAAAGTTTTGAGTATAATAAATGATTACTTATTGAAACCAATCAAGGTGATTGTGATCAAATATTTAGTTCTAAATATCACAACATCAAGATTTTCGTGATAATTTTCATATAGTCGAGTGTTAAATCTACTTCTCCAATCAGGTCTTACTTGAACAATAAATAGGTGTATGGCAAGAGACAAGTAAAAGAAAAGAAACTTCGGTTAAAAAAAAAAAAGAAATTTTTCTTTTTCTTTTGATATTTAGTACAAGAGAAGAGATAAAGAATTGAAGAAAAAAGTATTGAATTGTAAAATAAAAATAAAAGGATTACTCGGTTGAATAATTAATACCTCCATATATCTTCCTAATTTCCTTCTTACCAAACAGAAGAAAATAATTTTCTCTTCCCAAGTGTCTTTCATTCTCCCCCCCCCCCCCCCCCTTCCTTGCTCAAAGGAGAACTTAATAGGTTCAACTAGGGAAACTTGGAAATGAGAATATGTAAATATTTTATTGAAGATTCCTTAAGCACTTTCATGCGTTAATATATTCTATATAACATAGAGCAGACCTAATTATTAATCAATATGAGTAATAAAAAATAAATAAGATGGCTTAAGGCAAGTAAATAAAGCCTGACTTACAGTCCTCCCAATACAAAGGAGACCCCAGCTGCATAGATCCTTCCTCCACTTTCTCCTTTGTACATTACCAAATGACTTCCATACCAAGCAAGGAAAGCCCATATTGCAAAAGAAATCCCTGTGCTCCCCACTGCCAAACCTTTTGCTATTCCTTGCTTCAACCCCAACTTTATTG